TACATAAAGCTTCTTCAGGATGTGGATGGAAGCGGTAGCGCCATTGGACTCGCTCTAACTGTAGGCATGGAAGTATGTGTCGTATTTCTTCCTTTGAAAAGCTAAACACCAGCTTGTTAGCCCTTAATTCATAGTCCTCGTTGACCCCTGTACTAGGCAAAGTATATCTGAGTCAGAAAACATACCGGAAATACTCTCTAAAGTCAACATCATTCCATCCACAAGTATCAAGAAGAAATACTTGAGGCTGGTAAGATATTGGCCGTGACAGAGATGGATTTGGCTGGAGTCGCCCTTGTCACTCAGTGTAACGATCCCCTTTCAGATAGTTAGTTCTTGGCGACGGGGAACGATACTTATCTTTCCTTTCCCTTTCTTTCTTTGTCTTACGATAGCTCTAGGCCTCTGCCTATGTTACCGATAGTACAAGACCTTTATCTTCTATCGGAAACACCTATCATAAGCTTTCTCTAACTCGTCTTCGTAACGAGTGCTTCCTGGCGTAATGATAACGTTGCAATAAGAATAAAGATCGTAAAGGTGTTTTATATTTGTTAAAGTAATATATAGGAAAAGTACTTAGAACAAAGCGTGAAGAACCTATCTTCCTTGGCCGCATCGGCCTCCTTATATAGTGTTCTTCCCACCTTTACTCATGTGACCTAAAGTAGGCACATGCGTAAAACCAAATCATAACAAACTAGTCGTGTGACCAAAGTGATCACATGCTCAAAACCCATGACCCTATAACGAGGTCATGTGCAAAACTCATAAACCAATCATAACACAATAAACAAGTCTTATGACTCGACTGAGTCATATGCGCGAAACCCATGACCTCATAATGAGGTCATGTGCGAAACATAAATCATATGCGCAAGGCTTATCCGCAAGGCACACTCGCTAGGCATACTCGTCAGGTGCATGTCCCATGACTCATATTTGAGCCATGTGCGAAAGCATCACAAATCCCACACATAACTAATCATATAACCCGAATAGGTCATATGCGTGAAACAATAACATACCTGTGACTCATAACCATGTGTCACATGAAAATACTTTCCTCGCTAAGCCACGTTCGTGACATTTGCTCCCCTCCTCCTAAGCCTGAGTCCCATCAGGCTTTTTCTCCCAGTTTCAATAGTTCCCGTCCTGCCGAGCGCATGGTTCTTCTCAGCTTGCGGAACTTTTCGTCTGCCGTCCTCCATCTAACCCTTACTGTAACGTGTTCGCAAAGTGCTAATCATGTTATCGGTAAAGATACGATAGTTGGCAGGTGGCCTGCTCTTCCAGAGAGGAGGCGAGAGCTGAGAACTAAAGGAGGCTTCGAGGGTGTACTGAGGAACAAAGAAGTAACCGTTCAACCAAGTATATTGAAATACTGTGTGTCGAAGTCTGCCTTTTCCATCGTAGAATAAGGCGGTCTTTTAAATACACAAATCTGTTCATGTCTAGCATGAACGAAACTAATCAAAGGTATCAATTGATATTCTTTGGTAAAACTCCTTAAGTATCAAAGCGATACTTAAAACAAAACATAAAACAAAACCAAGTATCAAACGATACTTAAAACAAACCAAGTATCAAAGCGATACTTAAAACAAAACATTAAACAAAACCAAGTATCAAAGCGATACTTAAAACAAGACATAAAACAAAACCAATAACCAAGTACCCGCACCGGTTACCCTTACCGATTCCAGAGTTAGATTCGCCATCTCAATCGTTTGCCGCTGATTGTCGTTCAGCTGTCTAAGCTCCACGATTGTTTTGTCGTTTGCCGAAATTGTGGCCTCGGCTTGGCCCAGTTGTTCTCGGAGTCCCCAGATCTGCCTTGGTAGGCTCCTGACATCCGGTTCCGTGTCTGCCGAGGAGTTTTGGGCCCCTCCCTCCTTGGACCACGTCCTTGCGGCCCATGCCTTCCTGGCATCTTTTCCTTCCAACTCTTTTCGGCTTCCATCCTTCTGCGGGTAGAATCCCGCAGATATCCTTTGTGCCCTGCGCATCCTACACCCATTTCTGAAGCATTGTTGCCAATGCTTCAGGACGTGGTCTGGGCGTGGGTCACGCTTTCGGCATTCCCTCGGGAACCATCCCGAGCCTTCCTTGTCGCCAAAGTGTGTTTGGCAACCGTCATCGTAGCATACCGTCCATGACATGGCGTTATGCTGTGCCTGTTGTTCTCTTTCCTTGAGCTCTTCGTCAGTTGGCCCCATGAATGAGTATTCGGGGCTGGTGGGTATGGTTTGGCGGGGGCTATCGCCCCAGCCCCCGTGTTGTTGCAATGGCACGGGAGTCTTTCCCTCTTCTTTGCCTTGGTTGAACGTGATCATCACCTGGGCCAGGCTTGCCTGGGTATCACTGGTGGATGGTTGAGATAGCATCTTATGCGTTTTCGAAGTTGTGTACGAAGTACCAAGTTTTATCGTGTTCGGGAGAGTATCCTGTCCACTTGGCTTGGTATTGGAGGTGACCGTGGAAGAAGCGGGAATCGACTATTTCGTCGAGCTCGTATTCTGGTTCTCCATCCAGTTTGATGGGAGGGGGAGGAATAAGTGTTTGGGAAGGAAACTTATTGTCGTTGTATAATTCAAGAAGTGAGATGTGCAATGTGTTGTGTATTCGCATTGAGGAGGGATGGTCGAGTTTATAAGCTCGACTGCCCACTTTTTCCAGTATCCGGAATGGTCCTATTTTCTTGTAGTCCAATTTCTTTGATGGTCGCGTCGTATGAATGTTGCGTGGTATTAGCCATACCATAGCTCCTGGTCGTATGTTCGGATCTGGTCTTCGATGCTTATCGTATTGTTCCTTCTGTCATTGTTGTGCTTGACTCATTTCGTATTGTAATATTTCGTGTAGTTTCCCCATATCTGTTTTATCCGGTATCACATCATTAATCGTATGATATGTGGTCTGACTTTGTGGATGTTGTCTGTAATTTGCGAAGAAGGGTGTCGTGCCAATTGTTTCTTGCTTTCCATTGTTGTATGCGAACTCGGCCATAGATAACAGCTAGTACCAATCATCTTGTTGATAATTGACATAGGCCCTTAAATATTGTTCGAGTATCACATTTACCCGTTCCGTTTGTCCATCCGTTTGTGGGTGGAACGCTGTGCTCATCCTGTTTTGTATCCCCATTTCTCCGGTTACTTTCTTCCATAGTTACAATGTGAATAGTGTTCCTCGATCGGTAATGATATTCTTTGGGAGGCCGTGAAGTCGAAAGACCTTTCGGAAGAATGTTTGTATAAAATCCCTCGTGTTGATATCTTTTCTAACCGGAATGAAATGACTCATTTTGGTCAGGCGATCCACCATGACCAGGCTGCTATCGCAATTTTCCGATCTTGGTAGGTCCGTGATGAAATCCAGAGTAATTGTTTCCCATCGTTGTTCGGGGACTTCATTTGATTTTAGTAGTCCATATGGTGCGTGTTTAGAGGTTTTCGTTCTCTGGCATATGTCGCAGTTTTTGACATATCGTTTGACATCTTCGCGCAGTCCTGGCCAATAAAATGACCTCGTGATGAATTCCGTGGTTTTAGCCGTTCCTCCATGTCCTGCCGTTCGGATATCATGGTGTTGTCGTATGATGTCTGTCCTTATCTCCTCTCCTTCTGGGATCCATTGTTTTCCATCGTACCACATATTTCCGTCCTTCCATTGGCATAACCCCAGTGCAATTCCTTTCATCTCTTTTTCCCCTTTTCCCAAGGCTTCTCTTATTGCCTTGATTGTTTTGTCTTTCTCGTTTGCGTTCTCAATTCCTCTTTCCTCCTTTGATGTGAATTGGATAACCTCCATTGCCTCGAAGTAGGTTTTTGGTAATAGGGTTCGTATTTTTTGTTTGATTCTTTCATCTTCTTTCATTTGTGGTTTATCGCTTGCAATCCTGGTGAGAGTATCTGGCTTTCCGCTCTCTTTTCCTGGTCGGTATTCGATTTTGAAGTTGTATTTGCTAAGGTGCTCCATCCATCTTATCTGGCGGTCGTTCAATTCTTTTGTGGTCATGAACAGGACCAGGTTCTTGTGGTCGGTTAGAACTCGGACTGAATGGTCATTGTTTGAAACGTATCTCCTCCATTCTTTTAGTGCTTGAACTATCGCTAATAGTTCTTTGTTTGCAACATCGTAGTTGCACTCTGCAGGAGTCATTGTCTTGGATCAGTAAGACACTGGCCTCCATTTTCCATCATCGCCTTGTTGCGATAGTATGCCTCAGCATACGTATTTTGAGGTATCCGTCTCGATCATTGTCTTTCGGTTTGGGTTGAAATGAACCAGTATGGGTGCTGATGTTAGATGCGTTCGTATTGCATCATATGCTTTTTGTTCGTTTTCTCCCCATTCCCATTTTTTGTCTTTCTTCGTAAGGTTATAGAGTGGTTTTGCAAGCCTGCTAAATCCCTCTATGAACTTTCGATAAAAGTTGCAGAATCCCATAAAGCACTGAACATCTGTTTTGTTGTTTGGTTTGGCTCAATCCCAAATGGCTGCTGTTTTAACTGGGTCAACCTTGACCCCTCTTCGATTGATGATAAATCCAAGGTATTCTGTTTCTTCCTTATGGAATTCGCATTTTGTTGGTTTGATCTTCATTCCTGATCCTTGTATTGCCGCCATGATATTGCTGATATCTTTTTGGTATTGTTGTATGTTTTCCAAGTATATGAGTACATTGTCCAAGTATACGATGCAACATATGTCGAGGTACTTATTAAGTACCCTGTTAATCCATCTCTGGAATGAAGCCGGTGCGTTGGTTAGCCCGAAAGGCATGACCAAGTATTCTAACATTCCGTATCTGGAGGCGAAGGTAGTCTTCCATTCGTCTCCTGCCTTGATGTGTATATTGTGGTATGCGTCTTTGATGTCGAGTTTGGTGAAATATTTTGCTGATCGTAGTCTATCCAGTGCTTCCCCAATCAAGGGTAGTGGATATTGGTCCTTCTTGGTAACCAAATTGAGGGCTCTGTAGTCCACGCATAGTTTCATTTTTCCGTCTTTCTTTTTGACGAATAGTATTGGGGATCCTCCTGACACGAAAGAGTCTCAGATCCATCCTCTCTTTAGGTTTTGCTCAATGTACTTCCTAAGTTCTTCAAGCTCTGCTTCCCCTAGGAGGTATAACTTCTTATAGGGAATCTCTTTTGTCATTCCCGTTTTTTCGTCTTTGTCCAGCTGAATTTCGTGGTCGATTCCTTGTCTTCGAGGTGGTAGCTCGGTAGCTTCCTCTTCTTGGAATAGATTTGTGAATTGGTAATATTCTTTTGGAACCAATTCTTTCCATCCTTTTTTGCTTTGGTATTTCTTATCCTAGATTGCTAGCTCTGTGCTGATGTTGATTTTCGCTAGTACCGCTTTTTCGTCTTCGTATGTCCATTTGAGAATTCCTGTTGTATCTCCTCTTCGATAATATCGTCCAAAGGCTTGTGCTGTGATCTCTTTGATCTCAACTCTTTTTGTTGTATCGAGCTGGTTTTGGTCCGTACTTCCAAATCCCTTGTTTCCTCATATGGTTTCTTCCAGTTGATTTACTTCGTGCAGATCCTCTTTGTTGATTTTTTCGATTATCAACTGTGCGATTCGATCGCCTTTCTGAACTTGATAGTCCTCTTGAGATAGGTTGGCCAGGACCACTTTGACTTCACCTGTATAGTCGATGTCGATCACCCCTGCCATGGTCATGAGTCAGTGTTTGACCGCTAGACCACTGCGGGGTGCTATTCATCCGTAGGTGCCTTCTGAGAGTCCAATGGCTATTCCCGTTGCTATCGTTGCCTGTCCATTGGCAGGTATCTTGATTTCTTCGTTGGCGTATAGGTCGTATCCTGCTGCCTCTTTGGAACCCTTGGTAGGCACTTTTGCCTCTTGGTCCAGCCTTTGTATCCGGACTCTCTTATCTTGCCGCATCTCTGCAAACTTTGCATGTAAAGTTTCTTCTTCCGCTTCTCGAATTAGTGGGAAGTAGACTACAGGTGAACTGTTGAGACATTGTGTCGCACATAGTTCACCTGTAAACGTCATCTTGTTCTCATTCCAATCGATCATTGGATTATGTTTCCGTAACCGTGGCATCCCTAGGACTCTCTCATGGTTCTTTAGATCTGCCACTTGAAAGGTTGCCTTTCCCTATGGCTGTCGATGTCTATAGGTACTGTCACCGTATGGGTTATAGGACCCATAGCGCTTGGCTTTCCATCCGCTAGGTAGACTTGTCTTGCTTTCTTCACTTGTTTGGTGTGGAGCCCGTATTTGTCGCATATTTCTTTGTCGATAAAGTCTTCAGTGGCCCCCGAGTCGAGCATTGCATATGTTGTTGTTTCTTCGCTTTCTCTGTTGTATATCTTTGTTTTGATCATCACATGATCTCCATCTCCTTCTCCTCTTTGCGTGTGTAGTGCCGTGTAGTTCGTTAATTTGATGGGTTTTCCAGGTCCACATCTTGGGTCTCCCAGACTACGATTTACTTGGAACCCTCGTCGTTTTCCGCCGGTGAATCCTCTGCTATCATCTCGCAGATGTTGCTCCTTTTCTGCTTTTGGAAACGGTTATTTCCAGCAGCTCTGTTTCCCTGGTATCCGTTGTCCGGTCAGCTTCTGCATTCTCGTATCCGATGCCCTGCTTTTCCACACCTTAGGCATAATTTCCCATTCATCCTTCTGGCGTATTCTTCTTTAGACAGATTCAGAGCAGGTCCTGTTCTTGACTTGTCTAACTCCATTGGTTCGCCTGGTGGTAATGCTCGACTTTCTCCTCGAGGTGCTTGCGGTTTGAAGGTTCCGTCCATGTTCCTGGATGATTGGACCACTCTGTGGGCTATAGTATTTTCTGAGTTGCTCCGAACCATGTTTAATTTGCTTTCTTTGTCGATTGCCCATTTTGCAAACCGTTCGGCTGTTGTATAGCGCAGGTCAGAGATTCCCCATGCCTCTCGGAGTCTCTCACTGCAGTTTCTCAGGAGGATGATGTAGAGAGTCTCATCATCAAACTCAGCCTCGTATTCCAATAGTCGACATTCGTTCCAGTATGCCGAGAATGTTTGTTTTCCTTGCTGGAGTTTTTCTAGCTTTTGTCTTACTGTTTCTTTGGTGTTGGGATCTCCAAATTGTTCGAAGAGTGTCACCTTGAACTCTTCGTATGTGACCCATTCCCTCTGCTTTCTTCCATCTTGGAAAGGCATGATCCATTGTCCCGCGAGTCCTCTGAGCAGAGATTCCACATATGGAATCTTGATCTCGTCATGTTGTTCTCCGTATCCTTTAACGGCAAAATATCCCTCACATTGTGCTAAGAATATTCGTAGCTTATCTTCAGCTCCTTCGTATATGTCGGGCTCCTTTGCTTTTGGTCGTTGGATATTTCCTTTTCCTGTATTTCGTGTGGCTGCGAGAAATGCCTGAAACTGATCTTCAGTCATTCCAAGTATGCTAGTTCCTGGTGCCGGAGCTGCTGGGGCTGGTGGCCCAGGTAGTGCGGATCCCGACATTCTCTCAGGTTGTGGAGTTCCAGCAGGAGAGCTATCGACTGGTAATCCTTTCTCTGGGGTTACTGGGCTTGCTGCTCTCCAGGGTTCTGCTGAGACGTGATCTAGGGCGTCGCTGAATCCTTCTAGATTAAGATTTTGATCATCGATGTCAATATCTCTTTCCCTGTCTGGGTTGAAGGATGCCGTCTTGTATCGTTTAGCGTTGCACTAGGTGACGCTTTGTAATATAATGATCTCCTTTCAGATAGTTAGTTCTTGGCGATGGGGAACGATACTTATCTTTCCTTTCCCTTTCTTTCTTTGTCTTACGATAGCTCTAGGCCTCTGCCTATGTTACCGATAGTACAAGACCGTTATCTTCTATCGGAAACACCTATCGTAAGCTTTCTCTAACTCATCTTCGTAATGAGTGCTTCCTGGCGTAATGATAACGTTGTAATAAGAATAAAGATCATAAAGGTGTTTTATATTTGTTAAAGTAATATATAGGAAAAGTACTTAGAAGTCAATCTAATTTTATTTAAACTCGTACCGCCAACACTGGCATATGACGAGCCCCCGCCGGCACAGGGATACCGCTAACCGGTATACCACTAATCCTAGGCTAACTAAGTCTACGGTCCCGCACCTGCCATCCCCGAGTCATGCCCACACGGAAACTAATTACAAGACTATCAAACAACCCAGCGCCCTCCCCGGTCCGAGTCCGTAGCCCCTCTGGCATGAAGCCAACCAGCACCAAGCGTAGCCGAAGCCGAGCAAGAGACCAACCCAACCAGGTTCCTCGTCCAACAAAATCAAAACCACTACCACTCGGTCTAAATACCGTCCCGCAACACCTCCACCACAGTAGAAAACCAACAACAAACCAAACCAAATATAAACTACAGGCGACACAATGGCAGAGAGGAGGTGACCAGCATGTCCACCTCTCGCATCCGCATGCCAGGCCGTCGACCCTATAAACCCACTTTGCCAAGTGCCTCCGAGGAGCGTAATGGTGAGGAGGACCTGTACCCGCTGCCTGTCCCCCAACATAAAACACATAAACAAAAGAAATACATAGAGGTGGTGACAGACCGAAATAGTCAGTGGGGCCTATCTCCCACCCGTAGTGCCTTGCCCCTGCCAGCCATGCCCATTGCCAAACCAAAGAAACCAAACAAACTTCCACAACACCCAGCACGCAGAACCCAAACAAGTCCAACCAGGTGGTCGCAATCCACTATCCGCACAGGTGGCCATCAGTCCAGCGGTCCGCCGGGGAGCTTTACAGCACTCAGCAGCTTCGCCCAGCAGCCCAAACCGGTCCGGAAACACTTAATTAGACATCGCCCAACCTGACGCATGTCCGACCGGTGCTCGCAGGTGCCTCTCCCCCCCCAATCAGCCCCCCCCAAGCCCCACACACCAGATGCCACAGAGCCCATCCAGCCCCCCCAGCCCCTCAGACAGAACAACCATCCGATGGCCACAGGACAGCTTATACCCAGCCCTGCCAGGCAGTCATTGATCTTGGCCATACAAACAGAGCCCCAACCCCCAGCACCATATAGCCGAGGGGGGCCCACCAGCCACAGCCGGGAGCCACAAAGGAGGCAGCACCCACACTCGAAGGCACAGGCACCAGCCACACCATCCAACCCAGCCGAACCGAAATCCAACCGAGTCGGGAAGAGTAAGCAGAGCTAGCCAAAGCCAGCCCCACAGGTCCGGCAACAGGCACGGACCGAACAACGGGCAAGAGGCATCCCCAACTGACGCGACAAGATGGGGAAGGGCGAATGAACAGAAGCAGACAAACGGAAGGTAGGCCCCACTTGCAATGGGTGAAGCCGCCAACCACAGACCACAACTGAACCACCCAGACGTGCAGACAATGCGAGTGCCTGGCAGCCAATCGTCCCACACCACCCCAGGCAGCAAAGAAAAACCACTCCAGGGGGTAAGGTTTTTCAGGGTCAAAGCCATCCCTACCGTAGCTAGGAGGTGACACCTGACTGAACCACCGTATATGCCGCAAGGACAAAACTTCTAAGGGAACAGTGATAAACAACATCGTAGGATTCCGACCGTAGAAACATAAAGTAACGAGGCAGGGAGGGGCCGGTGAGGCCCCCTCCCTTGAGGAAATGATGCGGCCGGTACGACGAGTTGATACTTGGGAAGGTCACCAGTCTAACCCAAGGGCGTTTTGTATCGCGTGAACTAAGGACTCCGTTAAAACCCAACAAAAGACATGAGCTGGCCCAAAGAACGACACGGGTGATCCCCCCAAACACAATGTTCAATCCCCCCAATCGAACGCGAAACCTGCGAGTAGACGATAGACAGGAAGCCGTAGACATTTTACCGAAAGGGGCTCGTATGCGACCGTGATAAGTGCTCGAAGTGCTGGTATCCTGAGATAACCAGTCCAACGAAACGAGACGCAAACAAGTTATCCGCCACGCAACACCTAACAGACCTCAACACCAAAGACCCCAGGAACTACTGAGCGAACTCAGATATCTCCCCCAGAATCAAAGGCATCAAGGCCCATCATGA